TCTTAATATTATGATGGTATGCACACACAATTAATATTTAAGAGAAATACAGTCACCGATTAATGTCCCCCCCCCTCCCTTCCCAGCTCGCTGGCTCCTCCCTCTCTGAGAAATGTTTGGATGAAAACAGAAGGCTTACATTTTTAGTAATAAATAATACCTCAGACTAAAGTTAGCATAATATAATTGCACAAAAGATAAAATTTTGGCTCTTTCTAATCAAAATTCTTACATTAGACTAAAATTTGTATGTCTAATGCAAATTCCATGATGTTTATATTTAAAATAATCACAATCTTATAAGAATTCCAGCAATGTAAATTATATTCTGGCCGGGTAATTTGTATGAATTTTATGAGCTAATCTTCAGTAAATAAACAAATTATACTTCACCCAGACACTATCTGTCAATCAAAATACCCAACCTCCGCTCTCTTCCCACGCTCCCTGGGTCCCTCCCTCCCTCCCTCCCCACCTTCCCTCCCTACCAGAGAAATGTTTGGGTGAAAACAGTAGGCTTATATTTTTAGTAATAAATAACACCTCAGACTAAAGTTAGGATAATATAATTGACACTGCTGGATTCCTTGCAAGCCCAGGAATATTTTGAATATAAACATCATATATTTTGCATAAAAGATAAAATTTTGGCTCTTTCTAATCAAAATTCTTACATTAGATCTAATATTTGTATGTCTAATGCAAATTCCATGATGTTTATATTTAAAATAATCACAATCTTATAAGAATTCCAGCAATGTAAATTATATTCTGGCCGGGTAATATGTATGAATTTTATGAGCTAAAACAAATATCTTCAGTAAATAAACAAATTATACTTCACCCGCGTAAATGACCAAATTTACCGTCTAATTAAAGCATTTCATTCTGGCAAAGCACCGTGTAAATGACCAAACGCGTAAACAAAAACCGCGTAAATCCAGACTCACCTGTATATAACAAACACGACTTGGTTTCAGCTGGCAGTGGTGCCTTTCCAGCTTGCTTGCCAGTTTGTATTCACTTTAAGTTATTTACAACCTCTTCCGCAGTCACTGATGACACTATGAACTGATTTAACTAAAGGCACAGTACTACACTCCCTGGTTAGCCTTTATCACAGCCGTGACCACAACTCCGTAAAAATATAAAATAAAAGCTTTGTTATATGGCAATGATTTTATGGTTGTAGGTTTCTTGACCTGGGCTGTGTCTCCAACTCAGTGGAGATTGAGTTTTCAAAAATACAATCGCGTCTAGCATTAAAAATCCTACATCGATTTATATAATGTACAGTACACAGAGTAGATGTTGTGAATAAAAGTTATACACTTTTTTGCTAGCCATAAATATATTTAGATACTTAGTTTTCGTCTTTATTCAGGACATCTTCAGGTCATGAGACCCACTAATCCCCCACCCTGACAGTGGGTTACCCGACATTACATGAGACCACCGCCACCTGACATTGATCAGGTCAGGTCAGGTCAGTAAAATGACACCCACTATTTCTCTACCACACCACCATCAGAACATTTTTTACATTTTTTTATATAAATGAATCGAGTTCCAATCATTATTATCATGTTTTTTTGACTGCAGTGAGCAGCGTAACTTTGAAAATGTCTGGCAAGCCTTTATCTCACCAACTTTAAGGCTAAAACGAAGGCTACACCCCCAGTCTTCACTTTTCAGAATCCCCCAAAGTCTGTGTCAGACTCAGATTGATGTCTCCTCTCCACCTTAAGAGTCCCCATAGCCTCAAACGGGACATGAGATGATGACCAAACTTGTTTTTAAGTATGTGGTGAGTGTTGTTTAATTGTTCTGTACTGTATTGTAAGATTTTTTTATGATACATATGGGTGTCTGATTGGCCTGGAAACAATCCCATTGAACCCTATGTTATAAAGATCCTGATTTACGATATTTCGACCCATGATGAGGTTTTCAAGAACCTAACTCCATTGTTAACAGAGGTTTGCTTGTATAATTTTAGACTATTTAAACTTGACTGTGTATTGTCACTAGTGCTAATATGTAGGTATAATTCAGTTTGGAAAAGGTTTTGGCCAAATCATCTTATTGTGGTGTAAAAGAACACTCGAGTTATAACATGTATTATTAAAATGGCATACATCATCAGTGATCCATACGGTTAGTAACACAGTTTAAATCTTGTAATCCCTTTGTTATTTACCTATACCAGTCTGTTATTGAATTAATGCATAGACTACTCCATTTATAATTATTAAGCAGCAATCAGTCAGAGCAAGTGATCTCTGCACGGCCAGTGCCGTCCTTGCAAGAAAGCTGGGATCCTCATGCTGCCATCACCTTCATGCTCTGACGGCCTGCCGCCTCATTCCCCTGGATAAGAATCCAGGCTGTAGGCCAATAGGAGTGGGGGAAGTGCTGAGGCGAATCATCGGAAAATGCATAATGGTGGTGGTAAAGGATGATGTCAGGGCAGCAGCAGGGAACCTGCAAGTTTGTGCTGGCCAACAAGCTGGAGGGGAAGCTGCCATTCACGCCATGAGAACGATATTTGAGCAACGCGATTGTGAGGCCGTTCTCCTGGTCGACGCTTCAAACGCATTCAACATACTTAACCGCAAGGCCACACTGCACAACATCAAGATCAAGTGTCCAAGCTTTGCAATGTATGTTGAAAACTCCTATAGGAATCCATCAGACCTTTATATAGTAAACAACAAGGCTCTAAGAGGTGATATCATCATACAGTCAACCAAGGGAACAACACAGGGAGACCCTGTTGAAATGGCAATGTATGCAATTGGCCTATCAGTGCTCCAACAAGAAATAAAATTTGAAACAACTGGGGTCAAACAAGTGGCGTATGCTGATGACCTTACAGGAGCAGGAAAAGTGGAGGGCATCAAAAAGTGGTGGGACTTGGTAACATCGCGAGGTCCACAAATAGGGTACCACCCAAACGCCAGCAAGTCCTTCCTCATCGTGAAGCCAGAACATTATGAACGGGCAATGGAGGTTTGTGGCGAACGTGGTCAAAATAACTAAGGACGGCCAAAGACATCTAGGCGCAGTAATTGGCACTACGGACTTCAAGAACGAGCACGTAGCGGGAAAGGTGAATGAGTGGGTTAGTGAAATCCAAGCTCTGTCTGAGATTGCTAACACAGAGCCACATGCGGCTTTTGCTGCATTCACCCATGGAGTCAAGCATCGTTGGAACTACCTGATGCGTACTATCCCTGATATCGGACCCCTCCTCCACCCTCTGGAAGAAGCTATCAGTGTCAATTTCATTCCCAAATTAGTGAAACACCCTTACTTAACCCCAGCAGAAAGAGCACTTCTTGCCCTTCCATCAAGACTGGGAGGGATGGGACTAACCAATCCAGAGGAGATTGCAGCCACCGAGCATCAAAACTCACTTAAGCTCACGGCAGCCCTCACGGACCACATAATAGCCCAGAACGCAACAGGGGAGGTGGATACCAGTGAGGTAAATAAGATTCGTAGGTCCATTACGACAGATCGACAGCACTGCCAAAATGATAAGTTGCAGCAACTGTTGCTGCAGGTACCAGAAAATTTGAAAAAAAAGTAGCTATAGCGCAGGAGGTGGGCGCCTCGAACTGGTTAACTATGTTACCGATAAGGGCAAATGGTTTCAGTCTTAATAAACAAGAATTTACAGATGCCATTGCTCTAAGGTACGGTCGGCCAGTAGAAGGTTTGCCCTCCCAATGCGTGTGTGGCTCTTCCTATGACGGCGTTCACGCCATGGTGTGTAAGAAAGGGGGCTTCATATGCATGAGGCATGACGAAGTAAGGGACCTCACAGCAAATATGTTGAAGGAAATCTGACGGGATGTCATGGTAGAACCGACCCTCCTTCCTTTGGATGGCGAGATCTTCCAACATAGGACTTCAAACACATCTAACGAAGCCCGTGTTGACGTCAGAGCTCGAGGATTCTGGACGCGGGGACAGCGAGCTTTCTTCGACATCAGGATTTTTTATCCCATGGCCGCATGTCACCTTAACCTAGCTCTCGATGCTGCACATAGGAGGAACGAGAACGACAAGAGAAGGGCATATGGGGAGAGAATTCAAAACGTTGATCAAGGCAGCTTCACTCCTCTAGTGTTTACAACCTCTGGTGGGATGGGACCAAGTGCAAGATGTTTCTACGCCAGACTCGCGGAGGTGATCTCCGAACAGAAGCAGCAGCCCAGAAGTTATGTTACTTTTACTTTTACTTTTATCCTCTTCGCCACTGATCGGCTTGTTAGCCGCTTGGGCGATCGGTCACGTCTCTTTTCATTTATATTCTTCACCAAAAGATCGGCTCGCTAGCCGCCCGGGCGATCGGTCACGTCTCTGTCACGCACTGTTGGCAAGTACTGGGCATGTACCGGCTCCTGAATGTACCTGAACCCGCTCCAGTGTTGGTCAAGTCTTCTCTTGAAAGAGCTCACACTCGGTGCCGTCACAACACTCTCTGGTAGATTGTTCCAAGAGTTTACAACCCTCACTCCGAAAAAGTTTGCCCTCACGGTTTTCTGGACTTGCGGCTTCTTCAATCTTGAGCTGTGACCCCTTGTGGGGCGAGCGTCCGCCAGCTCCAAGTAAGGACACTCAACTGAGTAGTGCCCCCTGAGATGCTTATACACCTCAACTAGGTCCCCACTTGCCCGAACTAGGTCCAGGTCCCCCCTGGATGAGATGTCGACTGTCTTTCTCTCTCCTTCGGTCGGCTTTGCTCTGCCTCAGGAGAACGAGAGCGTTTGCCCCAATTCCGACAACTGCTGCAGATATTGACTATGAGGCTACTGTCACTGAATGCCGCATAGATCTGCAGTTCTACTACAAATATGTATGTGTAAACCACTGGTACAAAATTCCTGATAACTGTATCTATTGTATGTATGCCACATAATGCTGTCACCACCAAGCTTCAACTACTAGTCTTACATTAGGAGTACTGTACTGTATATTAAAAATAAATATTCTGATATATTTTATTAGACAAGTTAATTTTAATGCTACTATAATACAAAACACTGTATTATACAGTATGTCAAGTATGATATTTTTATACAAAATTTTCTAGTATAACATTTAAAGGCTTACCTGTCCATGTAACACTATTTTAAACAAGGAACTTGGCTACTGCCTCCTGTATATACACATAACGAACATTATTACATTGTCTTGTAGGTTCCCTCTTGGAGCAAAGCCTCTTCATACATGACACTTATAGAACTTTCATCATCTTACTGCCTTTTGTATTAGGTTAATCTCAATGTCCCATCCACATTTTGAAGTGTTGGTGAATTTATAGATCATGACGAGAATGACAGTTCCTCTGTGGAGTGTTCACCAAGCTAGACAAGTCGATGCCATAACTCTGAAAAAATAAATAAATAAGGAGTATATATATATATATATATATATATATATATATATATATATATATATATATATATATATATATATATATATATTGACAACCCTTTATCCGAAATTCCGAAAACCGAAAAGGCCTGAAAACCGAAAGTTTTTTGGGGCAGCAATTTTTTTTTTTTTTTTTAAAACAGGGATTAGCCCACCCGGGCATAGATCACTGACCCACATCGGGGCCTGGGGGGCGAAAATGTAATAGTAATACTAATTATAATAAAATAATTATTCATAGTAAATACAAATTTTAATTAAAAAATACACCAAAATAAAATAATGATAACAATAAAAATAATATAATATAATAATAAAATAGTAAATAATAATAATAATGAATAATAATAATAATAAAATAATAATAATAAAGAAATACAAGAATGAAAAAAATATCAAAAGTGAGAAACACGACCAAGACCTATGAAGTTATTATTATTATTATTATTATTATTATTATTATTATTATTATTATTATAATTTTGATTATATTTTCGCCCCCAGGCCTTGATGTGGGTCATTGATCTATGACCGGGTGGGCTAATACACATAAAAAAAAAAAAAATTCTGAAAACCGAAAAATTCCGAAATCCGAAATGCCTCTGGCCCCAAGGATTTCGGATAAGGGATTGTCAACCTGTGTATATATATATATATATATATATATATATATATATATATATATATATATATATATATATATATATATATATATATATATATATATATACACAATTAACCCTCACTTTACGCGGTCCCACATTCCACGTTTATGCGGTGCCCTGCCGGAACCCAGGATGCTCACATTCCGCGGTGCGTGTACCCCTTTACGCGGAGAGCGGCTGGCAAGCCGCGCCATTTTTGGATCAAAACCTCCCGCCATCCGCCATGTTGTGTAAGCTGCGCGAACATGGTGCGCACAAGGTCGCCCAGTCATCAAAACATTACCAGTTCTTCACCCGCCACCCACCACAGCCGGCCCAAGTCAGTGATAGTGATAATTATGGTGAGGATATGGACTTATATGGACTTTGTGGAGTTTGACAAAGAGGCCCTGCAAGCCTCTGTGGTGGATAGTGATACAATTGATACAAGTGACACAGGTGAGGGCCAATAATCTGCCCTCTGCCTCGGAACCAACCGCCCATCCCCGTGTGCCCAGCCATTTTTTCTACTAATGTAAGTGTTAAAAAACCTAATATTATTGATATTTCTCTTAATTATTAATTGTGTGTGCATACCATCATAAAGTCAAGATAATATTTTTACTACAACATAGTTGTTATTATTAGTCAAAAAGTGAGTTTGGGATGGGCCGGACTCCATTTCAATTAATCCCATATTTATGTTATTCACTACGAGGTTTCTCCTACTTCTGGCAGGACCCTCCGAGATTTACGACAACAGCGTAAAACGAGATTAACTGTTATATATATATATATATATATATATATATATATATATATATATATATATATATATATATATATATATATATATATATATATATATATATATATATATATATATATATATATATATATATATATATATATATATATATATATATATATATATATATATATATATATATATATATATATATATATATATATATACAATATATATGCAAGTAAATCACTGTAGGTCTTGGCGTGATCTAGGTATATGCTGATAACCACAAGGGAAGAAGAAAACACGAAGTTCCCAAGCGCTTTCGTGTAATTCACATCTTCAGGGGTGAGTACAGACTAGAGAGAGAAATACAAATCAAGGTGTATATATACAGAGGAGGGTGAGACCAGGTCCACAATGGTCAGGTATTAGGTAATGACCCTACTAATCTTTAAATAGCACACAACGGTTGGTGGTCAGGTCAGATGGTCAGGTGACCCGGCCTTCTCACCTGGTCACAAATCTTCTTAATTACAAAATTGTCCAGCTTGTACATGCCGTTACTCAAATTCATGTTGAATGCTTCGGTATGTTTAATAAGACTAGATCCTATGATGTTCCTACTATCAATTGAATTACATGGTAATATTGAGGAGGCATTATCCCAGTCAATGCAATGCTTGTTATCCCTCAAATGAACAAACAGAGCATTGGATTCCTGGCCTGTCCTAGTGATTGGACTAAGGATGTCAATAACAACTGTGTAGTGAATCTCTCCTCTAAACAACTAGACAATGATACCTTGTGTGCCCTCGGCTATGGTTTAAGTTTTGATGGTTCTAACAAGGGAGTCGACAGTGTTGACATAGCCAGAGCATTTTGCAATTTGGAGAAATTCAGTAATTTGACAAGTTTAGAAGTGAACATGTGTAAAGGTGTTGTGTATGCATCTATGTCCAAGCCTTGCATTCCAAACTGTCCAGAAAGATTCACCAAAGCAATCCAAGCCCTTAAGAAAAATAAGGATCTACATGTCACTAAAGCAGATAAAGCCAACACAGTAGTGATTTTAAACAAAGATGACTATATCTCTAAAATGAATGACCTTTTATGTGATACTACAAGATATTCTAAACTCATAAATAATCCTCTCAACACTGTCAACACCCAGTTCAACAAAAAACTGAAGTCCCTATTGAGAGGCAAAGCTACTCTCATTAAACATCTTACTTCAACGTCCCCTCCACTGCCATACATGTACGGTGTAATCAAGACCCACAAGCCCAATAACCCAGCAAGACCCATCATTAGCTCAGTTGGGTCAATCCCTTACAAACTATCTAAATGGTTAGTTTCTTTACTAAATCCCCTAGTTGGCAACATTTCTAACTCCAATATCAAGAATAATATGGATCTGGTTGATAAACTCAATAACTTACACATTAATTATGATTTTAAACTGGTCAGCTTTGATGTAACATCACTCTTTACAAAGGTCCCAGTTGATGATTTACTAGAGTTCCTCATAGATTCCCTGGATAATATTTCATTGCCTGTCTCGAAAGACGACTTCATCGAACTCATCAAACTATGTATTAAGGATTGTAAATTTGAATTCAATGGAGAATATTATGCTCAAAAATTTGGTATGGCAATGGGTAATCTACTCTCACCTGAATTAAGCAACCTATATATGGAATTCTTTGAAAAGAAACTATTAAGTAATATTTTACCACCTTCAGCAGTCTGGTTTAGATATGTAGATGATGTATTATGTCTCTGGCCAAGTAATGAGGACCTAAAAGCTTTCCTGCCACAACTTAATAACTTAGCCCCCTTGATCAAATTCACTGTGGAATTAGAGCATGACTGTAAATTGACATTCCTAGACTGTCTGATGCACAGAATAGGTAACACCTTTAAGTTCAGTATTTACAGAAAACCTACTAATGTGTGCATACATTCATTATTATTCTGCCCACCATAATAGAGTCAAACAGTCAGTATTTTCAACAATGTTTTTACGTGCTTTGAGAATTTGCAGCCCGGAATTCATTGATGAGGAATATAAATATATCTATAATATTGGCTCAAACCTTAAATACCCTAGATCTTTCATAGACAAATGCCTGAACATTACTAAGAAATCTTTTTATAGAACTGATCCCAAGCTCACCCATGACCATAAGAATCTCATAGTACATGTACTGTATTATCATTTCACAAAAATTTCTCTCAAATTCCTTTACAACTAAAATCCTGGAACGTCAATGTGGCATTTAAAAACTCATGCACTGTTAAACAAATGTTAATCAAGAACTCCCCCAACAACACAATTGGTTGCATTTATAAAGTTCCTTGCAAGGAATGTAATATGTTTTACTTAGGCCAGACAGGTAAAGATCTTGTAACTAGACTTAAACAACATAAATATAGTGTTAGGACAGGCCTCACGACGGAGAAATGAGCAATAATTTGAATAAATATTTTTCAACAGTTTTCTCCACCAAAAATTTAAACATGATACCCGAGGCACCGGCTCTATTCAGAGATAGTGAAGAAAACAAATTAAGTGAGATAGTAGTGACTAGTAACGATGTTAGTAAGCAAATAGACAAACTAAAGCCTAATAAGTCACCTGGTCCCAATGAGATATTTGCCAGAGTATTAAAGGAATGTAAGGAAGAGCTTAGTATGCCCTTAGCAAAGTTGTTTAACATGTCCTTAAAAACAGGTGTAGTACCAGAATCCTGGAGGATAGCGAATGTAATACCGATTTTCAAGAAGGGGGATAGATCACTATCCTCTAACTACCTCCCAACCAGTCTAACATCAATAGTGGGCAAATTACTGGAAGCAATCATTTCAAACTCTATTCGAAATCACCTGGAGAAGCACAGATTGATCAATGATTCCCAGCATGGCTTCACAAGCGGACGTTCTTGTCTAACTAATCTATTAACATTCTTTTCATCAGTTTTCGAATCGGTGGACGAGGGGCACAATTATGATGTGGTATATCTCGACTTTAGCAAAGCCTTCGACAGAGTCCCCCACGAAAGACTAATTAGAAAGGTAGAAGCTCATGGCATCAAAGGTAACATCCTTAAATGGATTAGGGCGTGGTTACAGGACAGGAAACAGCGAGTGAGTATTAACGGCACTAAGTCCCATTGGAGCAACGTCACAAGTGGAGTTCCCCAAGGCTCAGTACTTGGACCATTATTATTTATTATATACATAAACGACATAGATATCGGCATAGACAGCAACATAAGTAAATTTGCTGATGACACTAAAATAGGACGTGTTATTAAATCTGACGAGGACTCTGCAAAACTACAGGAAGATCTAAACAAATTTTTCGAATGGTCTGAAAAATGGCAGATGAAATTCGACGGGCAAATGTAAAGTACTCAGTATAGGAGATGTATTAGGGAAACCAGATGCCAGATGAACAAGCGATGCCATAGAAATCCGACTCTTGAGATTTAGGAGTAATGATGGCCAGACAGCAAGCCAAGTAAACAATGTGTTTTTTTTACTTTCCGTAACAAAGCTAATAAAAGTACTTGGGTTCATACAAAGGAGTGTTAGTTACAAGACTAGCGAGGTCATCCTAAAACTGTATCGTGCGCTTGTGAGACCACACCTGGATTACGCAGTTCAGTTCTGGTCACCGTATTACAGAATGGATATAGAATTCTTGGAAAGAATTCAGAGGAGAATGACAAGACTAATCTGGGGTATTAGGAACCTTGAGTATAGAAACAGGTTAAAGCATCTTAATTTGCACTCCCTCGAGAGACGTAGAGCGAGGGGCGACCTGATAGAGGTGTATAAGTGGAAGTCAGGGCTAAACAAAGGGGACATTACAAAGGTACTCAAACTATCCAACCAGGAGCGAACTCGTAACAATGGTTTTAAATTAGACAAATTTAGATTTAGGCGTGAAGTAGGTAAACACTGGTTTGGAAACAGAGTAGTGGATGAATGGAACAAGTTACCAAATATCATCATTAACTCGAATACGCTGAATAGCTTCAAACATAGGTTGGATGCTTATATGAGCAATAGGGGTTGGGTGTAAACGGGACTGCCCAGTATGGGCCAATAGGCCCGCTGCAGTTTCCTCCATTTTTATGTTCTTATGCTCTTATGAATCCAATGCTCTGTTTGTTCATCTGAGGGATAATAAGCATTCCATTGACTGGGATAATGCCTCCTCAATATTACCTTGTAATTCAATTGACAGTAGGAACATTATAGAATCTATTCTTATTAAACATACCAAAGCAGTCAACATGAATTTGAGTAATGGCATGTACAAAATGGACAATTTTGTAATTAAGAAGATTTGTAACCAGGTGAGAAGGTTGGGTCACCTTATCCTCTGACCTGACTACCAACCGTTGCGGTGCATTTTAAAGATTAGTAGGGTCATTACCTAATACCTGACCATTGTGGACCTGTATATATACACCTTGTTTTGTACTTCTCCTTAGTCTGTACTCACCCCTGAAGATATGAATTACACGAAAGCTCGGGAACTTCGTGTTTTCTTCTTTCCTTGTGGTTATCATCATATACTGTATATATGTATATATATATATATATATATATATATATATATATATATATATATATATATATATACAATTTAACACCTCAACCTGCCAGGATTCAACCCACGCCCACCAGGCCCATGACTGTGACCGTGAAACGCTAACTGCCGGATTTGGTAAAACGTTACTTGACCACTTCACGTGATAATACGGGTAGTCCCTATAAGAGGTTCATACAGCCTATGTAAGCTGCTGAACAGGTGTTTGTGTGAAATATATATATATATATATATATATATATATATATATATATATATATATATATATATATATATATATATATATATATGTATATATATATATATACTGTATATACCGTATATGCTGATAACCACAAGGAAAGAAGAAAACACGAAGTTCCCAAGAGCTTTCGTGTAATTCACATCTTCAGGGATCAGTACAGACTAAGAAGAAGTACAGAACATGTTATATATATATATATATATACAGAGGAGGGTGAGATCAAGTCCACAGTGGTCTGGTATAGGTAATGACCCTACTAATCTTCACAAAAGCACCGCAACGGTAGGTAATCAGGTCAGAGGGTAAGCTGCCCTAACCTTCTCACCTGGTGACAAATCTTCTTAATTCACGAAATTATCCAATTTCCTTTTAAACCATTGCTTAAATTCATGTTGACGGATTCGGTTAGGTTAAGAATATATATATATATATATATATATATATATATATATATATATATATATATATATATATATATATATATATATATTATATGAAGATCTTCCACCCCAAACCTACTTGGGGGGAGGATCTTCATATGATCTAGCCTGTGGGGGGGGGGGATCTTCATATGATCAAGCCTGGATGGGAGGATCTGACCTGACCAGGTTAGGTTAGGTTAGGTTAGGTTAGGTTAGGTTAGGTTAGGTAAGGTACTCATATTTTGCAATATTCAGTGTAATAATTCTTTTTTAAGAAACTATGTACATAAATTTCTTGCAGTATTTAGTGTAACATGAAAGTAATCTGAATAATGTTATATTATTTAATCCTTATGTTGTTTATTTATATTATATGTTGGGGGGGATCTTCATATGAGCGCGACTGAGGGGGGGGGATCTTCATATGAGCGCGACTGGGGGGGTGGATCTTCAGTTGGATACTTTGGGGGGGAAGATCTTCATATGATCCATATATATATATATATATATATATATATATATATATATATATATATATATATATATATATATATATATATATATATATATATATATATATATATATATATATATATATATATATATTTATATATATATATATTATATTGTTCCCAAAACTTTGTTATGAAGCCAAACCAGAAGTTTTGAAGGATCAAGGTCAGCTGATGATATACCGTACATTAGTTTATTTTATCTTTAATTGATCGTCTGCTAAGCAAAGTGCCACTGACATTGTTATTCACGGTAAATTCACTTTATTTATTATAAGTATAGAGTAAAATCTTGAAATGTGAACCCTAACCCTCCCCCTGAAGCAGTCAAAGAACCTTCTTTTTTGTTATTGTTACCTCTACTCCCAGGATCTTACACGTACTGATATATTAAGTTAATCAATCCCATGTCCATATTCCATATTGTAATATACATTTTAGCCATTAAACTATTAAAATGTTATATTTCACAAGACCCTAAACCAAAGCTGCACTTAATTAATGTAAGTCTGTATCGAATTTCAACTGAACCCATAAGTATTTCAGTAACATCAAAATCCACGAAATACATGTGATTACTGTATAATAACTATACAGTAAACACATGTATGGAAGATTTTAACTTGGAAGTTAATTTCTCATTAATAATTATTTGCATTTGTATAAAAACTTATGATTCCTATAATACTCACCTCAAATATGCTAAGACAGTGTTGGGTTGAGTTAGATCTTAGGGTGCGGTTACGAGAGTAAATGAAGACAAACTCCGTCTTTATTCCAACAATAGAGAGGCAGGAATGAGCACAAGAGAAAGTCTTATAGTCGGTATCCACAATATCAAAGGGAGGTTCAACTGAAATAAAAAAAATATAGTGATATAGTCCTTTGCCAGTTAGAATCAGGATTAATGTTTCCTTTTTTTTTCTTTTAAATAGATCTTTCAGTAACTAGACTTCTTAAACTCACTGTTAAACAAAGTAAAATCTTGACCCCAAAGGATTTCCTATGTGACATGTTGACAGATGATTGCCAGACATATAAAAGATGTAATTTTGTGGAGGGCTTAATTCATAACCCAGTGAATACAGATCATGTTGTTTTCAGGGTTTCAAAATTTAGTTATTGTTCAGGAGTAAACCATCTAGTAGTTTCTGACGACTAAAGGACTGTACAGGTGTAGAAAATTATGGAGAACTTAAAAAACATAATAGATATCTAGTGAAACAAGTAACAAGAATGTCTCTTATGGCAATGGCTAAGTTATTATTAAAAATATTTAAGGGCTCCAACAACTATGATCTTTAAGCACAAATCAATATGTAAAATTCTACAAAAGTTAAAAACTTAAAAATTAATAGAGTACAGTATTAATATTAAGATGTGGTGCCATTTCCATTTTAAGTAAGGGCACCGAGAGCTTGGGCATCTAAAAACCTCTTAATTGCAATGTAGTCTGAACAGCAAAACAGTTTATTGGCACCTTTTTCAATTGTTAAAATTTTTACCTTCTCCGGTAGCAACAATATAATGAAACAGTAATCCAGGTGTTAACACAAGTTCATGAGGCATTATTCAGGTGTTAACACAAGTTCATGAGGCATTATTCAGGTGTTAACACAAGATCTTGGGGCAGTATCCAGGTGATAACACAAGATCATAAGGCACTATCCAGATGTTAACATAAGATCATGAGAGGCATTAACCTGGTGTTAACACAAGATCATGAGAGGCAGTATCCAGGTATTAACATAAGACCACGAGGCATTATCCAGGTGTTAATACAAGATCACGTGGCATTATCCAGGTGTTACTTTTACTTTTATCATCTTTGCCACTGATCGGCTCATTAATTGCTTGGGAGGTTGATCGCGTCTCTGTTACGCACTGTTGACAAGTACTGGGCATACACTGGCTTCTGAATATATCTGAACTTGCTCCAGTGTTGGTCAAGTCTGGTCTTAAAAGTGCTCACACTCGGTGCCACCACAACACTCGCTGGCAGATTGTTTTGGAAAAGTTCACGATTCTCGCTCCCAAAAAGTTTGCCCTCACAGTTTTCTAGACTATTGACTTCTTCAGCACTTGTGAGGCGAGCATCTGCCAGCTCCAGGTACGGACACTCGACTGAGTAGTGCCCTCTGAGATGTTTATAAACTTCAATTAGGTCATCCTTTGGCCCTTGCCCGTCTTTAGTACAAGCTAGGAGCCAGTGCATGCCCAGTACAGTGCTTGCCAACAGAGACGTGACCGATTGCTCAAGTGGCTAACGAGCCTATCAGTGGCGAAGAGGATAAAAGTAAAAGTAAAAAAAAAAAGGAAAAAGTAAGATCATCAGGTGGTATCCAGCTGTTACACAAGATCACGAGGTAGTACCCAGGTGTGAACACATGATCATCCTGGAGTTTCCAGGTTGTTAACACAAGATCATGAGGCAGTACCCAGGTGTTAACACAAGATCATGAGGGAGTATTCAGATGTTAACATAACTTACCTCCCGGAACAAAGTCAGTGACCATGTGAGCAGGATTCTGTGGGTCCACAATTTTCAAAATAGATTTGGTGGTTGTTGAAGCACCGCTGGAGTCCAATCCTTCAGATAAAACATGGATCTCTGTCTTAACTCGTTTGTAGCTGCTTGCCAGACACGACTTAATCGACTGGAATATGTTGGGCTGAGCCTGGATCTCGTACCATACTCCCATATACTGAAACACAATAACATGGGTAAAATTACTGTGATCACAGCAATCTTTTTCCTAAATCTACCACAAGATCAACTGGTGAGATTAAATACGTTTTCCCATCTTTTGGTATCCAAGTGTTAGGTGAAATTTCTACCAAAAAAAAAATTCTACCCCGTTTCTATATTGAGCATGCACGGCCATGCACAAAACCAGAAATCATCCGTTCTGCCTCTGCCATCTAAACCCAACTCTGCTCAAAATATCGACTTACAAGTGGTGGTAGGTGATATTAATTATTGCTCGTTGGTTATAAGTGTGTAAAGCTTAAAATAAGAAGGATATTGCTTGCTGTCACTTGCATTTGGCTCCATTTTATTGATATTATTGGGAAAAAGGAGTAGATATTTTACTAGGGTAATAACTATGTAACACACCTGTGTTCACAGGTGTGTTGCTCTGGTTTCCTTTGCTATGGAGGTGCCACATATATATGGGGACTATTGTAGCTGAGGGTTGTGCTAGTTTTAAAGGCTTAAAATTTAGTTTAAGGCCACATGTGTGACGAGCTAAAGTAGTTGCATTTAAAAGGGGCCTTGAACATTTGAAAGCATAAGGATGAAAAATTGATTGTAAATTATTTTTTGGCAATTGACACCCACCACGATGAAAGTGTGTTTGCAGTAAACTGTTAAGCCATTGTGCATACACAGCAGGTATGGATTGGCGAGCAACTACACTGATTAAACTTGACCTTGTGATAGGAATAATGCATGTTTTAGCCTCTATAAACATAAAGTCTTAAGAATACGACCAGATAAGAGTATAGATTCTGTGATCTCCAAGAATTCTTTTTTAAAGGAATGCAACTAGGTAAAATTGTGGTTCATTCGTCTGCTCGTTCAATGTTTTTTTCATCACTCTTTATAGAAAAAACAACAACAGTAATTATCGAGATTCGGTGAAATCAGCTCCCGAATTTTGAAATCTGAACCTAAACTAGAATACACTACCACTGATCATTTGGCTAGCCGCTTGTGCGGTCAGTCATTTCTCTGTTATGCACTGTTGCAAGTACTGGACATGCACAGGCTGATACCAGATCCTGCACATTCTCTGGTAGGTTATTCCAAGAGGTACTTGTACAAAGATTTCCAAAATGCATGGTTATCCCAATCTTAGTCGGTGGAAGTTGACTTCTTCCCTTCTTATATCCTTCATGAGTGGTGGTCTCTCATAATTCGTGACCAGATAGTACCACATGGCCGATATTGATACTGGTGTTAATCTTCTATGTTTGTCTATTTTCCACTGGGCAGTTCGTGTTATTGTGGTCTTCTTTATCTGCTCCTGAAACTGGGCGGGATGTTCATCTCAATGTTTCGCTTTCCTAATGCAGCCTTGGCAGCAGCATCAGCTCGTTCATTCCCTGGGATTTCGATATGACTGGGCACCCAGTTAATGATAACTTGCCGATCTTGAAGTTTTAACCCTTGCAGTAGGCCAACAACAGATGTTATGAGATTAATGTTGTCTCTAGGCTCTCTGCATTGTAGTGCTTCAATAGCACATCGTGAGTCAGTGTGGATTACAACGCCTTGTTGACTGTTTATGGAAGCGTGTCTAAGGGCTCCAAGTATGGCAGCTAGCTCAACTTGCAAAGTAAAGCATCCATCTGAGGTTCTCCAAAGGGACGTGTTACCTCCTTCTATAGTGAAGGCTGCTCCTGCCTTCGTACTGGTGGGCTCTACGGAACTGTCTGTGTAATACACTGTACTATTGTGTGGTGTTAGAGCCTTCATGTTTCTCTCTGCTACCTGTCGGAGCTCATGTGGGTTACAGTCAGCCTTTCTTGTCCCAGTTTGTAGAATGTTGAAGACTGCTGGCGGGGACTCCCGCAGTGCTGGGGTGCTGTAGTCTGGACTCATTGTATCAGGTCCTTTGCTGAGGATTGTGTCTTTCAATTTCAGTCAATTTTCAGCGTCAGCTGCGCACAATAGCCATGTTTTCTTGTTAAAGACATCTCTGTTAAGGTTCAGTGCTCGTAAGAGTCCATTCTTGATGTCACTTTCCCGAGCCCTGGTAATCAGCTTTGTTGCAAAGCATGCTATTAATCGTTCCGCTCTGGTCTGGAGAGATGTGAGACCTGTCTCCATGTGTAAGTTTTCAATTTTTTTCCATATAGGTGCCTTGACAATGACTCTCATAGCGTTATTCTGGGCAACCTCCAATTTCGCCCACTGCCACTCAGACAGTGTGTTAAGAGCTGATGTCGCATAGTCTGTTAATGATCGAATGGCGTGTATATATAGTGTTCTTAGGACTACATGTCCCGCACCCACCTTGGGTCCTGTCATGGCTCTCATCATGTTGACTCTCTTGCCTATTCGGTCTCTTAGATAGTTTATCTCAGTGTCAAATTTGAGGCCTTTGTCAATCCAGATGCCCAGGTATTTGTATACATTGACCCATTGTTGGGCAATACCTTGTATTTGCAGTTGTGTCACCGGCTCATGGTGTCCAATCCTCATGGCTTTCGATTTGGGGATTGATATCTTGAGCCCGAGACTCATACATTCTTCACTGAAGAGGTCTAGTGCTCTTTGGACTTTGCTGATTTGGTTTCTGCCTTTTACTATCAGTGCTAAGTCGTCAGCATAGCATAGCAGTTTGGTACCCTCTTGAAAGGGAAGCCGACACAAGTTTTCCATGAGGATGTTGAAGAGAGTTGGACTAAGAACTCCTCCTTGCGGTGTGCCATTTTCCAGTCTTTGGTGATCTGATCTGTTGGAGATAGTCAGCAATCCAAGCCAGTAGGCATCCCTTGATGCCTTTCCGGGCCAGAGTGGTTACAATGGCCTGTGCATTTGCCAGCTCAAATGCTTTCTCTAGATCAAGGAATACTACGATTGCCTTATTTTGACCAATCGATCCCAGGAGAGTGGCCAAACTGTGTGCAGTGCTGAGACCTTTGGTGAATCCAAAGATATTGTGGTGAAGTGGTTCAGTTTTCCAGAGGAGTTGTGTAAGGACCATCCTTTCGGCGGTTTTGCCGATGCATGCTGTTAGTGATATTGGTCTGATATTCTGGGGATCATTGGGTTTGGGAAGAGGAACAATGTTTGCTCTTTTCCAAGCTGACGGGAGTTTGCCTGCTGACCATGATGCACTGATAACTGTTAGGGGAGAAAGTTCACCAGCAAGTCCTGCATTGCTGAGCAATGAATAGGTTATACCATCACTGCCAGGGGCGGTGTCTTTGCCTGTTTTCCTGGCCCTTCTGATTTCTTCTATAGTAAACAGACAGTCTGTAGTGTCAGTTTGTTCAATTGCATGTCTGACTACTACTACTCTCTCCAGTTGTACTTGCTGTAGATGAAGTCTTATTTCAGGAGGTAGTTGAGCTGATGACGAGCGTTCTGCAAAGTGCTCTGCCAAGCGATTTGCTTCCTGTAGTGGCTGGGGGTGGGCTGGAGCTCTGGGCAGTTTTCCTGTTGCTATCCTGAGTTTTCTCCAGAGTTCACTCGGGCTGTTGTGTGCATTAAAGGTTGCACACCACTCGAGCCATTTGTCTTCCCTAATTTTCTGAGTAATTTGACGAGCATGTTGGACAGCAGCTCAAGAGTTTCACTCCCTCAGGGGAAGGGTATTGTCGGAGATGTCTTCTGAATGTGTTGATTCTGTGATTCTGTTCGCTGACCTCGTCATAGTAGAAACAGTAGTCTTTGTGGTGTCTATTTGTAGGGTTTGTTTTTGGTATTGCTTTCTCTGCTGCGTGTTGTATGGCATCAGTAAGGTCCTGGTTTAGTTGGTCAATATTTTCTGCTGGTTCATAGTTCGAATACCATTTTTGGAGTTCATCTTGATATAATTTCCAATTTGCTTTCTTGGTATTCCATCTGGGTGGCGGACGTGGGGGAGGAGGGAGTAGCTCCACCGTCAACGTAGTTGTCGATGCAAAGTGGTCACTGGTCAGTTCATCATCTATCTCCCACTGAGCTACTGGAACGAGCTCAGTGGAGATGAATGTGAGGTCCAATGTTCCTCCCAGTATGTGTGTTGGTTCCCCAGTATTAATGAGCGTTATTTTTGGAACATCTGTCAGCAGTTCCACTAGGTGATGACCATCCAGGTTCATCTTGTGGTCGAATTGATCGTTGGACGGTGGGCATTGAAGTCCCCAGCAATGAGCACAAGTTCCTGTGTTGCTTGTGTCAGTAGTTCACCGGCTTCCAGTCATTTGGGTGGCGGTTTATAGATATTGTATACTAGAAGACTGTCGTTTGCCAGGTGTATCCGAACAGCTTGTGCCTCTACTCCATCTCCACAGTGAACTGGTTCTACTTCTGAACTGGGGATGGTCGCCCTGACGATAATCATGCTGCCATGGGAGTTGGGCCCCTTTGGTACAGAGTACTGTTGGTATCCAGGCAAGCAGAATTGTATATCTTTTGACATCAGGGTTTCTTGCAGAATGAAGACATCAATATTTTTTAGCTATGGCTGCTGCTTGTACAGTATGCCGTTTGTTGGACAGGCCTTGTACATTCCACTGTGTTATCTTGAGATGACAAGGAGGTGGGGCTATTCTATCATTATCTCCTTGTCGCTGGTGCTGTAGTTGCTCTCGGCGTTCATGGTAGAGTCGCTCTCCTTGTCCGTTAGGAATGGTGGCTGTTTCTTGGGCACCTGCTCTAAGGGAGGAGCAGGAGGTGGAATTCCGCTTGTTTTGGGCAGTATCTCGGGAGTTTTTTCTTCTCTCTTCAGGGTGCTGTCGCTCTTGCCTGTGATCGTGTGTTTGCTGACGGTCTGTGTTTGTTGTTCTATTCCTCGTGATCTGTTGCAAGGGGCTTGAGGCTTCACGGTTTTGAGTGATCTCTCGGATGGCAAGTTCTTCTTCTTGTCTGATATCTGACTCAAGGGCGTCGTCGGTTCCACTTGCAGTTGTGGAGTTTTGGGGGTCTGGTCTTCCTGCATCTTTTCTGTGAGCTGTGACATAACTGCATTTATTATATTTTCGGTGCTGGTATCTTTTTTCTTTATTATAGTCGAGAAAGTCACTATCATAATGGTGATCATCTGTTTTATTTGTTTTTCTGTGAATGCCGCTTGTAGATTGGCAGGCTGAGAGGGAGACAGATTACAGCGCGGGATATAGAAACAATATAGCACCTTGCGGTCACATGACATGAACTGACCAATCACGCTCGACCTGTTAGATAGCCCAAACTCTCCCTATATATGGCTCTGGGATCCATTATTTTGCCACATATGCTATCCACATTGTTTTATTGTTGGTAGATGAAAACACCAAATGACATCACTACAAGTAAACCACATTTGTCAGTATATATATATATATATATATACACAATCAACACCTCAACCCGCCAGGATTCGAACCCACGGCTCACGAGCCCATGACTGACCGGGGAACGCTAACCGCTAATGAAATAAATAAATAAATATATACAGTGACCCCTCGTTTAACGAACACCTCGGTTAACGTAATTTCGATTAACGAACTGCCTTCCATAAGGATCTTCAATTCGGTTAACGAAAAAAATTCGGTTAACGAAGTTCTTATGAACCGACCTCAACATGTTTTCGCTTGCACTGACCGGGCAACCAGCTTTAGTATCAGTCCGCCAATACATTAATCGGTTCTAGGGCTTAAATTCCTTACTATTTTAGTAAATATCAAGAAGTTTATACTATTCAATAATTTTAAAAGTTTAATATTCAATTTTTTAGTCATTTGAACAATTATTGAACATAATTGAAGGTAAAGTGACTAGTTTAATGCACGGCATCCAGCCTCTTAACACAGCAAACAGGCGTTAGTCTCTCTCTGTTTTCACTGGAGGTAACATCTTGCTTGAGACTCTCTTCAACTAAACGCTTTTTTTCTGTGTTTCCAAGCAAATTATTGGTCATTTTGAAATATATTTTATATATTGACAATATATAATGCAGTGCAGTGTTGATTTAAAGAAAATAATCTTGAATTACACCAGAGAGCTAAAATTTTATGGGTGAAATGATGCCATGGGGTGACTTCTCTTCCACCCCAATGCCTTCTCTTCTTCCTTCTCCTCCACCCCCATTCTAAATCCCATCATCATCATTCAGGAGCCTTCTACATACACACCTCAAAGTAAGTGAACTTTTCTACCATTTTTGTTGAATTTAGGAAATTTTCGGTGAGCTGGAACCAATTACCCAAAAACCCATTGAAACAATGGGTTTTTTTTTTTCAGAGGGGTAAACGTCATCCCACCTTCACATGCACAGTGCTTCGTCCATGATAAAATATCTTAAAATGGTTCTTCTATAAACCTTGGCTAGTATACGTTACGTAATTTTTCAATCAATAATTAAGTGAATGTGAGGAATTTGTGCGGCTATCATCAACCTGTGAGATGCATATTGCAGGTAACAACACAAGACGGCAGCATGTACTGTATTTAGAAATTCATCAGATTATTATTAAGAAAATATAGTTATTTCACTTAAGTCAAAGTTTATCATTTACGTAGTGCGTATAATAATTGACGTTTATGAGGAATGAACAATCCAAAACTCACCTTATCTGTAGAGAAGTTTTTCATCAGTCTAAGATTTGGACAGGAAGTCGCACCAAATGATACACACACAGAAGCCAGCAACAACAAGGTCCAAAATTGTGTCATCTTTAAAACGTTCTTCACCTGAAGCACATAATACAGTGTAATTATACTTTTTTATTGCAATTTTATAAGAATAGATAGATAAATAAATAAATATAAAATGTTTTGAATGATCTCTGACTTCAAACAGTCAATTTCACAAGACTTCACGTGTAATCCTCCAAAGAATCAAAATATTCTTTGGTTGGTATGAACGTAAAACCGTCACACGAATAAAAAGGACCAAAGAGTATTAAACAAGGGAAATATTTAGAAGTTGCCAACACGTATTAAGTTTTATTTAGGGAGAAAAACAAAACTAAACATAATTTATATTTTTCAAGTATTTTAACCTATAAAATTACGAACAATATAGCATTCCTTTGTCCAATAATATTCTTCAAATAATTATTTATCCATTTAAAGTCATTGTTATTGATCTGAGTTTTCTGTATATATACTCTGCTTTTGTGCATTAAGTAACTCATTATTTAAATTGCTATGGAACTCATCAACCTCATATCTTGTGGTCTGATCACCCTCAACAGTCATATTTTGTGAGGTTGTCATTGTCAGATCACCTGCTAAAGTGAGGTCACCATCTGTTCGTACATTATGTGAGGTCATGTTATTTACTACTTCCCGTGAGGACATGTAGTTTTTTATTGTAGTTCACCCCCAAACGTAATACCCATTCTCTCAGCTGCCTTTTCATTTATCAAAGTTTGCCCTTCTGAAATCTGGGAATTAAATGGAATTTTCCTTGCGACTGACATTACGTTTTACTTTGAATATCAATTCTTTGTCTGACGTTGTACACTCCTCCATACAAATGTTTGCCGATGACGCCAAGTTATTTCGGGAAATCAAGAACCAAGCGGACTGTGAAGAGCTGCAGAAGGACGTCTGTGGGCTCCAAGAATGGTCCAAGAGGATGCACCTGGGGCTGGTAAGGAGGCGTATCATATGTCCCAACGGGATGAAGAAACTGCACTATTTGAGACTGAATGTGAGAAGGACCTAGGTGTGTATGTTGATAATGAGCTGAAGTTTTCGGGCCATTGCGAAAAGGACCAGACGGGGTGACAGTACTCCAGATGGGGAAGCACTTCACTCTTGAAGATCGTTACGAGGGACGGAACGTCTAGATATCTGAACGACCTTCTTATAAGACTTAATAATTTATTTGCCCGATTTACTTTCTCGCAATGGCCCGAGAACTTCAGCTCATTGTCAACATACACCTAGGTCCTTCTCACATTGTCTCAAATAGTGCAGTTTCTTCATCCTGCTGGGACATATGATAGGCCTCCTTACCATTGGTACGCCCCAGGTGCATCCTCTTACACTTCGTGACACTGAATCTCAGCAGTCCTTTCTTTGACCATTCTTGGAGCTCGCAGAGATCCATCTGCAGCTCTTCACAGTCCGCTTGGTTCTTGATTTCCCGAAATAATTTGGTGTCATCCGGAAATATTTGTATGGAGAAGTGTACAACGTCAGGCATTTCATTTATGAAACAAACAAACAACAGCGGGCCCAATACATTGCCCTGTGGTACCCCGCTTGTGACAGGTACAGATGATGATTTCGTGCCATTAATCACCACAAACTGCTTGCGGTCATGTAGAAAGTCTTCTATCCACGCTAGGACATTCCCCGAATTCCGTATCCTTCCAGTTTGATTTTCAGCCTTTCGTGGGGTACACTGTCGAAAGCCTTGGCAAAATCTAAGTATATATTGTCGATATTACCACCCTGTTCCAGAATATGGGTCCAAATAACCAATATATTGAGCAATTGTGTTAAGCAGGAGCGCCTCGGCATAAAACCGTATTGGCAATCATTTACAAGGTTGTTTCGTAGTAGATGTTCCATCGCGGCATCTCTGATAATTACTCTCAAGTATACTTTACATATTAGGCTGGTCAGGCTCACCGGTCCATAGTTGTTCGTGGAGTGACGATCGCCCTTCTTAAAGATAGGACTCGCATAAGCCATTTTCCAATCATTGGGGACCTTTTCTTCATCCAGGCATTTACAGAACAGGATCTTCAGGGGCTCGGCAAGCTCGTTGCTCAACTCTCTTAGCACTCTGGGATGCACCATGTCAGGACCGGAACTCTTATGGACCTTTAGCTTTGACAGTTTATTTCTTATACCCTCTTCTGTGAACACAATGTGGGTCAGTGCTGTGTCGAACCGTCTGTTTTCAAACGCAGGAAGGTTAATCGCATCCTTTCTTGTGAACCCCGAGGAAAAGAAACTGATCAATGCCTCAGCTTTATCCTGGTCAGAATCTGCGTAACTACCATCTTCAAGCCTCAGGTCTGATACTCCTACTCGTGTTTTTAATTTCAACTTTGCATAGTGGTAAAACGCCTTTGGGTTTGACTTGACCTCGCTTGCAATCAGCCTCTGGAACTGCTTTTCAGCCCTTTTACACTCTGCCCTTGCTTGGTTTCCAACTCTTCCATACACCCTCCTGTCTTGCTCATCGATTGACCTAACCCATGTCTTGAATTTCTGGGTTTTCTTCTTAACTTTGTCGACCGCCGCATGGTTCATGTGTAGGGATCCCCTTGTATTCCTAGAACCACTGAGTTTGGTCTTGGGTATATATTTATCTATCAAATGGGTCACTTTACTAGTTATGATATTCAGCGTAGTGTCTGCGTTGTTGTGCCTTAGTGAGTCAGGCCAGTGGTTACCCCTCATCTCTTCCCTCATCCCGTTGTAATTTCCCTTGAAATATTTGCACCTTGGCCTGGCTTTATCTTGAACTAGGTAACAGATAAATCTGAATGACAACACTACATGGTGACTGGTGCAAGATGTTCCAGTTTGGCCACCATACCTTCCTCGTTTGTTATGATGAGGTCTAGTGGCTTGGGTGTTTGCTCCCCTTTGTAGTGTGTGGGGTCTCTAACTTGTTGTAACAGAAAATTATCTCAGAGTTTGTACAAAAGAGTAGCAGGATTATTAAAGTCATTTGGGGTGAACTCTTTTCTCCAGTCGATGTCGCCATAGTTAATGTCCCCCATGATAAGGAGGTGGCTAGGGTTGAGCATCGCTGCGTTGTCTATTAAGGCTCTTAAGTTCCTTTGATTTAGTGGGCCAGTTTGGTGATCTGTAGATACACCCGCCAATAAGTAAGTCCCTTCCCTTTAATTTAATTTTACACCACCTGGACTCTTCAAAAACATTCTCTCCCTGTACCCTCGCCTGGCTGGCAATAAGGTCTTGCCTAGCATGCAGTAGATAACCACACCCCTCTTGCAGGTTTCTTAAGAAAGGTTCGTAAATGAGTCACATCCAGCAATATTGAACTCACATTCCTCTGGGTCGATTCTCCTGTTCATGTACAACAGTTCTACAACTCCTACAATATCAGGTTGGTGTACCTCCAGTAATGTTTCAAACTCCTCTCTTGTCAATGAACGTGTCAGTATTAGTGTACATGACATTCAAGCCAGAATTTGTTCTCGGTAACGTCTTTGCTCTTAGTAGTAACTCCGGTCCCATTCCATTCTCAGAAGCTGCAGCATTTGCTAAGTACACTGTATTTTGCAGGGTGTGGTTAGAAATGTCAGTATTTACACGGCACTCGCCTCCTCCCGGCTGGTAGGCGGAGCTGGTGCCATCTCCCTGGTGGGGGGTGGAGGGCGTACTGGTGCCCCCCGGCTCTGTGTCGGCACACTTGCTTCCACTAACTTCCCCCTGAATATAAGCCATGTACACCCGTCCCCGTTCCTCCTTGACTCCTCCTTCTTCTGCTTCAAGTCCTGCAGGAGATTCTTGTGCTGTTCCCTTTGCATTACCGTGCCATCTGGGTGGATGAATACACTCCGAATGCCTCGCACCTTGCTTAGTTTTTTGCCTGCCGAATAACCTACCATTTTTCCACTTCACTCACTAGTGTCATCCTGTGGGGGCGAGGCTTGTCCCCCTGCTTTTGTCCCAGCCTCCACACATCATGAGGGGTTGATGGCATCTTCAGAACCTCTGTACAAATATTCTTAAACTTCTTCTTATCGTGTGTTATCCTACTCTCAGTTCCCTCCGCCTGGCTCTCAGGGACTCCAAAAACTATTACATTAATCCTGAGCTGGAAACGTTCCCGCTGTTCCTCCTCTCCCCTTTCAGTAGGTCCACTAATTGTCATTTATTCGACACACTTCTTCAGAGTCCCTAGCTGCTGTAGAACCTGTTCTGATCTTGCATTATTCTCCGCCACCTTCCGTGGCCGTGTTAAGGCCTCGGCATAACTCTTCTTTGCAACCACCTCCATTCTATCGGCTACTTCCTCAGTCTTGGCAAGGATCTCTTTCCCAACTTGTTCTAGTTTAGCAAGGATGCAGCTTCATCTATTTTCGTCCCTGGGGAACTCGTTCCTCTATGGCTTGTAATCGCCTCTTTCACCTTGACTATGCAGTCAGAGCAATACCAGCAACACCTTTCATGCTTTATGGCAACTTGTATCGTCCTAAACTCTGCATTGCTCAGGTCTGTATCATCTACATCTACATCCGTCGTCGCCCTGCAGTAATCACATGTCATACCCATCATGGTTGTTGCTTGTGGGGTGGGTGCAGACTGTGTGTACCAGTCGGAGGAAGTCGAGAGTAAGAAAACACACAATAAGTTGCATTTTGAGAATATTTGTACAGAGGCTCTGAATATATTAGTCCCCCCTCAGATGTGAGGAGGCTAGGTCAAAAGCAGGAGGGCAAGCCTCGCCCCTCAATGATCACACTAGTGAGGGAAAAAACTTTGTAATGGGTGATGCATTTCAGAATATATTCATTCACCCAGATCGCACGGTACTGCAGAGGGAACAGCACAAGAAACTCCTACAGGGCTTGGAGCAGTGGAAGGAGGAGTCGAGGAGGAACCCGGGACGGGTGTGCACTGTTTATATCCAGGGGAAGGGTAGTGGAAGCAAGAGCGCCAGCACTGAGCCAGGGAACAACGGTACAGCCCCCTCCCGCTCTACCTCCCACCCAGGAGGAGGCACCAGCTGTGTGTATGCAGATGACATCACTCAAATAACAACACATCAAGGAAAATCGCGAGCGTTACAGGTCGACAACACCAGGCGGGAATTAGAAAGGGTAAATAATTACGAAAAACCATGGAAAATCCAAACCAGTCTCCCGAAATTCACAGTGATACCTTTATGCAGAAGGAAAACCCATCCATTAGTTACCAATAATGCCCAGATAGAATATAAAAAGCAGAGGCACTCTCCTAGGCCTGCATATATCCACGACAGGTTACTCCCATCATGTCCACGCCAGGAAGGAAAAGGCAAGAAAAGAGCTGAGAAAACTATACAGCTTTAAAGCGCGTCCTGAGGAAATAAAACTCCTCCTGGTGACATCATTTATCATACCGATATTAACTTACCCAGCAGTACCTTTTCATACTATGAGCACCACTCAAATATTAAAATTATAGGTGGTCCAAAATGAAGCCCTAAGATTCGTCACAGGTGAAAGATACCCCTTCACCAGAACCACAGCCGAGGTACATAGAGACCTGAGAATAAAACCCATCAACCAGCAGCTGCACACCCTGGCCAGCAGAGTCTGGCAAAAGATAGAACGATCAGAGTAAGAACTCCTTCAAAGACTCCCACCAGATAACGACAACAACCATACATGGTTCCTAAAAAGTTACCAAACCTCAAAAGGTCCATTACCACCCCTGATCTATACAGCCGGGCAATAGACAACCTCCCTAGACCAGCATCCGCTAGTAGGGTCGGCGGAATATGAAATAAGGCCCTCAAAACACCCATATATGGGATAGGGTAGGATGTCCAGTGCTTGTACCGACAGACAATAACTAACCCATGACACAACCCTAACACACCTTTAGCTTAGCTAGGCGGTCAGCCCGCCCTCTCTTACCTCAACCTAAATTTCTTCAATTTCCGAACTATAACTTCCTTCCCCCACCTCTAATCTTCTTTCATCCCTCCTTTCTCTAAAAAAAAAAAAAGAAAAAAAAATGCTCTACCTCCCACCCAGAAGTAAGCGAGCGCCATGTAAACAATGCCATCTCTGACCACACCCTGCAAAATACAAAGTATTTAGCAAATGCTGCAGCTGCTGAGAATGGAGGAGGGCGGGAGTCACTACCATGAGCAGAAACGTCACCGAGAACATATTCCGGCATCAAAGTCATGTTCACTAATACTGACAAAGTCCTTGATAAGAGAGAGGAGTTTGAAACACTACTGAAGGTACATCAACCCGATATAGTAGGAGTTGTTGTACAAGAACAGGAGAATCGACCCAGAGGAATGTGAATTCAGTATTGACGGATATGACTTATTTACGAACCTTTCTCAAGAAACTTGCAAGAGGGGTGTGGTTATTTATGCTAGGCAAGACATTTGAGCCAGCCAGGGGAAGGTACAGGGAGAGGATGTTTTTGAAGAATCCAAGTGTATCTACAGATCCCCAAACTGTAGCTTACTAAACCAAAGGAATTTAAGAGCCTTAATAGACAACGCAACGATGCTCAACCCTGGCGACCTCCTTATCAGGGGGGACTTTAACTATGGCGACATCGACTGGAGAAACGAGTCCATGCCAAATGACTTAAAGAACCCCACTACTCTTTTCGTAGAAACTCTGAGAGATAATTTTCTGTTCCATCATGTTAAGGACCCGACGCATTACAGAGAGGAGCAAACACCCAAGCCAATGGGCCTCATCATAACAAACGAGGAGGGTATGGTGGCCAAGCTGGAACATCTAGGCCCCGTTGGCACCAGCCACCATGTAATGTTGTCATTCAGATTTAACTGTTACTTGGTTCACGACAAAACCAGGCCAAGGAAATATTACAATGAAAATTACGACGGGATGAGGGAAGAAATGAGGGGTATCCACTGGTCTGACTCACAAGGTATAAGAACGCAAACATTACGCAACCCCGCCCACCTGGTACGATGTCCTCCGTAAGCTTCCTGACCTCTCGTATGTCTACGGGAAAGGGTCGCGGAAAGGGGACGTGATTGCTGCCCGTATCATCATTGGGTATGACTTTTGCTTGGGAGATTGGTATCCCCGCATCCCCTGAGCAATGCTCTTGTGCATTATGCAGAAGACCCGACAGCCGCACCCTTATCCACTACCTCCTAAGATGTCCCCACATACAACGCTTCCGTGGCGCCTGCTGGACCACCACTCCACGACCCCCTGACGGAGACACGATGATCCTCCCCATACTGGCCAGATATTACGTAAATAACATTGATTATGTGTTAAAGGAATATCCTTCCTTCCTTAGGCTTTAGTAAGCCCCTTTATAATATTTATACTGTATATACTTGTCACACTTGCCAGATGCTTCTGGTGTTATTGTACAGGGGTTCCTAGTGACAGCATTAGGATCCCGCTTCCTCTATCAAGGAATAAAAAATTGAAAATTACAGAGATGCGACAGGTGAAAACCCTTACCATGATCTGGCTGAAATTGCACTCGCTGCCTTATCTCTTCAGCATTCAAACGCAGATGTAGAGCGCACATTTAGTAATATGAACTTTGTGAAATCAAAATTGCGCAACAAAATGAAACTATCGACATTAAAGGCAATTCTTACAATAAAGTATGGGTTAAAAAGACAGAACACCTGTTGTGCAAGTTATGAACTTCCTAGTGATATTTTAAGAAAGATAGGGACTGTGGAGGCATACAGTTACAAGAGAACCTGAACCAAGCACTTCACATGCTTCCAGCTCTACAGTTGTTCACACTGCCGACGACTACGAAGAGGACTGGGATGCAATTACTATTGAATAATAGGTAAGTGTGCACATTAAACTTTAAAAAAAATAATATTTTTATTTTTACATAATGCATTTTATTTATACTCCGTCCATTATAGTCGTCATTATGAAAATATTATTTGCATCAAATTGTTGAAGGGGGGGAATAATAGCTAGCGACTTTCCATGGAAGATTTAGCGACATTTAGCTACTTTTAGGTACCAGCCTAGCGACATTTGAAAATCCGAGTTGGCAACCCTGCTAGGAAGCGACTGCAAGGAGAGCATTTCCTGATTCTTTCTTTACCTCTCATGTCATCCGTTTTGCGCAGAAAAACTCGTAATCGTAGTTTTTTCCCCGTAATCTAACCTAACTTATCCTAACCTAACAATAATACACTTAGGTTTAATGGGTCGCAATTCAAATTGTTGTTCTGGCTGTGGGTCGCAGTAAAAAAAATTTGAAAAACACTGATCTAGAACAAGCGACATGGTCGCAGTGTTTGAAGCGCGGCACCACTGTACAATCAGCTGGTGGCGGAATGGTGGGGTCGGCACCCTACGCCAACAGCAAGAATTTGTTCTATCTTGGCCTTGCTGGCTAGGTTAGGCTAGTTAGGTTGTTACTTTTTTGTATTAGTATCTGTTACGTTAGGATAAACAATATTAAGCCAAGCATGAATGATCGTCTCTTAATCTCTCTTTCTTACTGAGTGTACAGTGGGCCACGCTTCAAACACTGCGACCATGTCGCTTGTTCTAGATCAGTGTTTTTCAAATTTTTTTTACTGCGACCCACAGCCAGAACAACAATTTGAATTGCGACCCATTAAACCTAAGTGTATTATTGTTAGGTTAGGATAAGTTAGGTTAGATTACGGGGAAAAAACTACGATTACGAGTTTTTCTGCGCAAAACGGATGACATGAGAGGTAAAGAAAGAATCAGGAAATGCTCTCCTTGCAGTCGCTTCCTAGACTGTGGAGTGTACATTACAATAACCAAGCCTAAATTATGGTGCATTTATTTTTATTTTCTTATTTATTTTCGCGACCCATTTTTATTTTGCGACCCAATTTATTTATTTCCCCCCAGGACCCCCTGGATTCGCTCTTGCTGGCTAACTACATTTTACTAAAGATAACCAGTTTGGGTTTATTTGCTGTTACTTGTAACAACAATTATTCTCATTTTCGATTGTTTGTAAATTGCAGGGACACCGATAATGTAGTAAACACAGCGACAGTGATACAGTGAAATAGGAACGACATTATTTGTAACAATTTGTAATTGAAATGGTAAAACTTGACACTCCAGCTACAGATGATCTGCCACAGAGCTCAAACCGAGTCAAACGGCACTCCTTGCAAATACGCTTTAGGTTGATCTAATTTGAGTATATTATACCATAATGTTAAAAATCCTAAAGTCAAATATTATAACACGAAAATTATATATAGTATACCTACAGCAAGTACACAAAGTATCTTGGACAGAAAACCTACCTGACAGGAAGAGCGGGAGTATCTTACTGGTGGACTGACGGAGGTGGTGTTGCCGTCTCAGACAAGATGACCTTGAAGACTGCCCTGCACTGCCCGCGGGCCGTCAATTCCTAGAAGTGAGGCCGACTCCTTGAAGATCTCCATTCACAGGATGGTCAGTATTAAAGAAACCATGAACAACAAAGCAAAATTATTCTCATATATTTCTTCCAAGCTGACGATATGAACCTAATTAAATCTAACGATGCCGAGGTAGTTTCTGTGAAGTCAGGGTGGGTTTGGTCGGCTCCTGTTGCTTGGAAATAGATGATTTAGCAAATGTGTTCGTGGTAGTTTCTAACATTAGTCCCTTACCTGTTCTCTCAGTTGCCAGGTACTCTCCGTCAACACGGTTGCTCTCATTTTTCGCATGGATACGCAGTATTTTATTTCGTTCTAATCGTATTTTACGTATATGTTAATCGTTTTATATCACAACGAAACAAAAAGGGTTCAGGGTGAAGTTCGTCCACCTTGTTTACATCTTGTTAACTGTTCTAGTCTACATCATTTAGAACATGATTTGTAAAATAATCTTTTGGATCACATGATGACATGCAGCTAGCCAACAGTTCGTTTCACATGATTAAACACCCTAACGCTACCTAGGGGTTTATATTATGTAATATATGTTATGTTATATAAGTTATATGTTATGTTATATGCTATATTTTGTTATGTTATATGTAATGTTATGTTCGGAAAAATTAAGTTAAGGTAAGATATGTTAGATCAGGTTACATTGTGGGGTGCGAGATATTTCTCCTCCATCCTGTGTGAGTGCGAATCTCCGGGGGTCACCATTTGTGGGGTACGAGATATTTGGTTCACACTCAGGATGGGATGGAGAAAGGAAACTCACAATGTGCTCTCTGTATACATATTGTATTGGATGTACAGTGCAGCTTGGTGCTGGGAAGTGGCAGATCAGAGGAGGACCAGCTTGTGGGTCGCCATGGTCCCGGTCCCTGGATACCTCCTGTACTAACACCGGGATAAACCAACCGTCCGAGCGGCAAGTTAGCTGTATAGATAGTATAATTATGTAAATGATTAAACAAACATATGAAACTTATAAATGCGTTTATAAATAGACAAATGTGTAAATAAACAACTAAAAAGGGCATCCACAGTGCGGAAGTGCTACTCGGTACTCCTTAAATTCTGTCATCTGTGCTCGTGTTATATGATCTTGCAACTCATTTTATTCACTTTATTGATGATAATTGATTGTGAATTTGGTAAGTGTATTGGTAAATTGTGTTGTCTGTATTTCATATAGTGTTTATGTGTTGTATTTATGTTCATGGTATTTTACTTTACTTTTAATTTTATCCTCTTCCTCACTGATCGGCTCGTTAGCCGCTTGGGCGATCGGTCACGTCTCTGATTACTTTTCATTTATCTTCTTCACCAAAAGATCGGCTCGCTAGCCGCCCGGGCGATCGGTCACGTCTCTGTCACGCACTGTTGGCAAATACTGGGCATGTACCGGCTCCTGAATGTACCTGAACCCGCTCCAGTGTTGGTCAAGTCTTGTCTTGAAAGAGCTCGTACTCGGTGCCGTCACAACACTTTCTGGTAGATTGTTCCAAGAGTTTACAACCCTCACTCCGAAAAAGTTTGCCCTCACAGTTTTCTGGACTTGCGGCTTCTTCAATCTTGAGCTGTGACCCCTTGTGGGGCGAGCGTCCGCCAGCTCCAAGTAAGGACACTCGACTGAGTAGTGCCCCCTGAGATGCTTATACACCTCAACTAGGTCACCCCTTGCCCGTCTGTAATATAAGCTAGGCAAGTTCAGGCGCTCCAATCTCTCAGGGTAGCTGAGGTGCCGAAGTGCAAGCACCAGTCTGGTGGCCCTCCTTTGAACATTTTCAACCAACTGACAGTCCCTAGCATATCTCGGAGATCAGACGGGGTGACAGTACCCCAGATGGGGAAGCACTTCACTCTTGAAGATCGTTACGAGGGAGGGACCGTCTAGATATCTGAACGACCTTCTTATAAGACCCAATAATTTATTTGCCTGGTTTACCTTCTTCTCGCAATGGCCCGAGAACTTCAGCTCATTGTCAACATACACACCTAGGTCCTTCTCACATTCTATCTCAACTAGTGCAGTTTCTTCATCCCGTTGGGACATATGATACGCCTCCTTACCGTTGGTACGCCCCAGGTGCATCCTCTTACACTTCGTGACATTGAATCTCAGCAGCCATTCCTTCGACCATTCCTGGAGCCCACAGAGGTCCTTCTGCAGCTCTTCACAGTCAGCATGGTTCTTAATTTCCCGAAATAACTTAGCGTCATCGGCAAACATTTGTATGGAGGAGTGTACAACGTCAGGCATGTCAATACACTGCCCTGCAGTGCTTTGTGGTACCCCACTTGTGACAGGTACGGATGACGATTTCGTGCCATTAATCACCACACACTGCTTGCGGTCATGCAGAAAGTCTTCTATCCATGCAAGGACATTTCCCCGAATTCCGCACCCTTCCAGTTTGATTATCAGCCTTTCATGGGGTACAATGTCGAAAGCCTTGGCAAAATCTAGGTAAATATTGTCGATATTACCACCCCGTTCCAGAATATGGGTCCAAATATCCAATACCTTGAGCAGTTGTGTGGAGCAGGAGCGTCCCGGCAAAAAACCGTGTTGGCAATCCTTTACAAGATTGTTTCGTATTAGATGCTCCATTGCGGCATCTCTGATAATACTCTCAAGTACCTTACATATTATGCTGGTCAGGCTCACTGGTCTATACTTGTTCGTTGAGTGCCGATCGCCCTTCTTGAAGATAGGACTCACATAAGCCACTTTCCATTCATTGGGGACCAATTGTTCATCCAGGCATTTTCAAAACAGGATCTTCAGGGGCTCTGCAAGCTCGTTGCACAACTCTCTTAGCACTCTAGGATGCACCATGTCAGGGCCGGGACTCTTATGGACCTTTAGCCTGGACAGTTTATTTCTAATACCCTCTTCTGTGAACACAATGTGGGTCAGTGCTGTGTCGAACCGTCTGTCCTCAAACGCAGGAAGGTTAGTTGCATCCTCTCTTGTGAACACCGAGGAAAAGAAACTGTTCAATGCCTCGGCTTTATCCTGGTCAGAATCTGTGTAACTACCATCCACAAGCCTCAGGTCTGATACTCCTACTCGCGTTTTCAATTTCGACTTTGCATAGCGGTAAAACGCCTTTGGGTTTGACTTGACCTCGCTTGCAACCAGCCTCTGGAACTCCTTTTCAGCCCTTCTACACTCTGCCCTTGCTTGGTTTCTGGCTCTTGCATACATCCTCCTGTCTTGCTGATCGTTTGACCCAACCCAAGTCTTGAATTTCTGGGTTTTCTTCTTAATTTTGTCGACCGCCGCATGGTTCATGTGTAGTAGGGAGTGACAGTTTGGCAAAAGTTTTCAAAATCTAATTGCTTGGGTTGGATTATTTGTCTATCGGCCACGCTAATTCCGAATATGTTTGAGTTTTTTACATCATTGCATTAGAAGGTTTGTGGATACTTTTGGGTTTGGCATGAAAAACGCGAAAAAACTGTAAATAATAAAGGGACTGGCAATGTGGCACAACCTGTTAAAATCAAGTTATTGAATTGGATTATTCGACTACTGTGTACACTGGTTCATAATATGCTATTGTTTTACAACTCAATGCGCTACAAATTATGCCGATATTTTTGCTGCAAGTCACCACATACGTATATTTCGAAAACCAGGGCCCAATATTACCAACGGCGTGGATAGATTCCGTGGAATGAATTCAGGACATTCCCGCTCATGGAACATTACCAAACTCCGTATATGTGCCAATGGCAGGCCAATGGCAATATTTACAGAGTTTGTTGAGGCTCCCTGGACGGGAATGCCCTGAATTTATTCCACGGAATCTATTCACGCCGTTGGTAATATTCGTCCCAGGACTGATCAACGAATTCAGCCCAAGTAGCTTGACTTGGACAGTTAAGGACAAAATCTCAGTCCGTACTTTTGAATAAAATATTGTTCAATAGGTGGTGATATTGAAGTGCTGAAAGTTGTTTTTTCTGTGTTGTTTTGCAGTTAGTTCAAAGGGCCGCCACCAAGATGGGTCGTCCTAAGATTAGCAACACTCAGCTGCGCCAGGGTAACGATAAGGTGTTCGGGGTTCGGATGCCTCTGCCATCTAACAAGTTGCCTCTGAACAAGGAAGTTGGAAGTGCCCTGGCTTATGAAGCAGAAAACGAGAGGTTAAGGAGAAGAACAAATGCTTTTGATTATATGGATGCCACCAACAAGGTGACTGAGAAGGTACTGGATGTGTATAGGAAGGCCACTGTCCCCACTATCTCTGAAATCAGGGTGAAAATGAGAGTCCACGACCTGTGGAGGATGCGGAGGGAGACGATGATGATGAAGGGAAATGGACAGAAACAGAAAAGGAAGAAAACGAAGAACGGGAAGCTGAAGATGAGGTTCGAGGATATAGCTGAGAAGTTGTTTGATGTGGCAGACGACAGCAAAGTGCACGAACGAGAGAAAAGCTTCCTGGCAGCCCAGAGGAAACCGGGAAGGGAGGGCTGCATTGATGGCGTTGACAAAATTGTGACTGCCAAGCTGAAAGAAGAGAGGGAGAAGGAAGCGAAGAGGGCAAAGAAAAGGGCTGAGGAAGAGAGGAAAACTGAGAAGATGAGGTCAAAGAGTAAGGAGGAGATGGAGAGGATGTCGTGTAAAGTGTCGGCAGTGGATGACAGTGCTCAGGAAGAAGATAGTGATTATAAGGATGTCAATGACAATGAGTTCAAGGCTATGGTCGACAGGAGAGCAAGATCAGAGAAAAGGAAAAGGGAGAAAGAAGCCGAGGACAGGATCGGAGAAACTGCTGACAGGTTCAAGGTATCCAATGATGCAGTGGCTCACATCGCAAACACCATCAGAGCTGCAGACAACATCATAACTGAAGGGGACAAGTCTAAAGTGACTAACTGGAAGAAAGTGGAGAGAGTCAGGAAGAGGTCACGAGAACAGAAAAAAGAAAAGTTCAGGGGATTCAAGGTCAGAGGTCTCATGGTAGATGAGAGGATCAATGAGAAC